AATTGTTCATTTACTCGTCATATGGCGCCTATATCAAAATGTTAAGTTTGGACCCTGTCAAATAAAAAAGGTGAACGGACCCCTTTGCATTTTATAATTTCGCGAAACTTTTTACGGTTCACTACGTTTCAAATAGCTTTGATTTTTTTTAAAAGATCCGATTTATTGAGTCGTCTTAAACTTGGAAAACGAAAACAGAACATGTCTTCGACACTTGTCTTCAATTCTTTTCCTTGCTCCCTTCAGGAAAAAACACGTAGCCTATATTAAAATGTTAATTTCGACACTGTCAAAAAAAAAAAAAATGGACTTTGCATTTTTTAATTTCCCTAAATTTTTTACGGTTCACTACGTTTCAAATAGCTTTTATTTTTGAAAAGATCTCGACTTATTGAGTCGCCTTACTCTTGGAGCACGAAAACAGTGCATTGTCCACTAGTCTTCAATTTTTTTCTTCGCCGCCTTTTGGAAGAAAACACTTAAAGGACACAGATACCACAGTCATTTACATTTTGTCTTTCCAAGAACTGATCGATATAAACAACTTGCTTTTCTTGGAGCTCCTGACAGATGACGACAATGTTCTTTGTTCTGTGAATAGAACCAGGGAATATAATAGCTAGAAAACAAAGAAAAACTTCACAGGTTTTGCACACGGGGGTAAACCCCAACAACCTTGCCTTAGAGCTTCTGACAAATAACGACAATGTTCTTGGTTCTATAAAGAGGTGAGATTTGAAGAACTTAAAATTCAGCCGAGAAGAAGCAGTAAGGCAGTGAGGAGTATTTGATTTTCACTAAGATAGTTAATAAACTAATGGGAGCTGCTCCTTTCTCGCTCGAAGGCGTGTTCGCGTACATCTCGGAGACGTTCGCCGCTGGAGTGATTCAGTCTTACCAAGGACAAGTACTTCTAGAGGACGCTCCATTACTGCAACGCCAAGATCCCTTGGAGGATTTCAAAAAGTTCCATCGAAATGATGAGATTTTTCAAGAGTACGATCCTCCCTCAGGGGAGGACAGCAAAATGGGATGGAAGAGATCTCGCCCGCCAACATGGCGACTGTCGCTATGGAAGGCCATGAAGCATGCGTTTTGTATTCAAATTCTTGGTGGAGTAGCGTTGGGATCGCTCGTTATTGTAATACTGGTCATAGATTTCAATACCTTCGATCTTTGCTATGATGTGAAGTCCAAAAACTGGACAGCGATTCCCAAAAGAATTCAGGCGGTTATGGTGACAGCTGATACAACCGAAGCCTACTTGGTTCAACTGTGGTCGTTTCTCGTTGTGTTGACCATGTTTGGTTGGCGTTTAATAAAAGAACTCAATCTACTGTTTCTCAATCTTCTGGGCGCTTTCCTCGACACTTGTTACAGGCTTTATTTACAAGTTTACGGCATTTACTACAAGCCCTGGAGGTCAGTCCCTCCCAGCGGTCTCTTTCTTCTCTTATTGTTGATGAACAGTTTGATCATTGGCAAAGACATAGCTAAGAAAAGCGAAACCGAAAGGAACAAAGGAATCAAGAAAGCGATCAAGGTAGCGGCGATGCTGGTCGCTCAGTTTGCTTTTGGAATACCGATCACATATTGTTTCGTGTACGTCCTGATACCTCTGTATGGCGAAGTATCTGAAACCTACAGAGCGATTATAGCCGGGGCATTGCCTCTAGTTACTGCTATACCGAAGGTGATTGTACGCTTGGCGGCGCAAAGAATCGATTTCCTTCATCCGGGAGATTCGCACGTATTGTTAAACGGACTCTACAGCACGACTGCCATCGTTTTTCGCGTTATGCAAGCGGAACTGACCAGCCTCGGACTTTTCATTCTACTCAGCTGCGTGCACGGTGTAATAGACTTGCTGGAAAGGTTGACTATCGTTATTCGTGATTGTGCTTGGTACTTTATTTACAAGAAGCTCAAAAGAGACAGTAGTGAAACACTTTTAAGAGCAAATCAGTTTCGCTCGCCGAGGAGTATGCGCTTTGTGGCCGATATGAGCATTCAGATGATCCTTGGCGAATCAACATCATTGATAGCAGCGGTCGGCTTCATTCAGCTTTTTAACTTCATGTACAACCGCAGTGATGCTTCCTCGGCGTCTACCAACATGGTTTATATCACCCAATTCTTCATTCGCGTCTCCATTGCTATAAGCATCGATTTCGTTTTTAACTCGTTCTCGTTTTGGCTGCAGATGTCCTATTCAAATATCGCAGTGGTGCGCGTCTGGCGCAAGAAATGGCGGAAACATATGCTCGTTGCTTTTATTTTGACTGCAATGACACTGTGCTACTTTACTTCTCACTTGTTTGCTGTTGTTAAGGCCAAAAACACTTCAGGAGTAGATGTCAGTTGTAGGGGGCCGTTCTCAAAGTTTTAAACGGACTGTATCATAAGAAAAGAAAGAATAGGTGATTTTAGACACACAGTCATTAAAACTAGGATGTTTTAAGAAATGACAACAAAAACATCAGCAGCAGAAGCAGCAACCTTATTTCAGCAATTTAACTTAAGTATTTACCGGCACTGAACAGCATGTAGCAACTGCTAATCTAGGCGGGACAGACGTACAAGTTAGGGTTAACCGTTAATGAATATTATTGCATAAACACAGAGTTAAGGAAACGATAACTTTAGAACTTTGAGAGAAAAATCAGTTGAAACTTAAGACTTAATTATTAAGCCAGTCCAACTTTTTGTATAATGATCGATGTTTCTATATAGTCATTTTCTTTTACTAAAATATCTAGGAGAAGTTTGCGAATTTCTCTTGTAAATACTTTCGGGGGTAGATTTCGCCAGGTACTCAGTATCTCATTCCTCAGTATTACAAACGCTTATGTACTATCTCTAACTCAAAGCTTTGTACGTAAAAATTCCTGAAGGTGGATGATTGCGTGTTGTACGTATGAATACTGGAGTTTTTTTAAAAATATTTACATAATATTTAAAGGAGCGTTAGTGACCGCGAATTATTAGGGACTTTAAGATCCAACGACGCGACGGCTATGAGAACGTCGCTTCAAAAGTGAACTGTTTACGTTCTTGCAGTCTTTTTCGCAATTGTTCCTACCCACTTACTTTGTCAAATGTAGGCAAACCCTCCTGGAGTTGAATTCCTAGGCACCATATTCAAGTACAGAAAGAGAAATTAAATTTCGCCGTTGCTTGTTTACATCCTTCTTAAAATGCGAAATTAGGCATTTTCACGTCGTAGTCGTCAAAAAATGTCCTGTTTTTAGATTAATCACGTAAAATTTAGGGCGATAGGAATCAAATCATATTATTGGTATGGCCTTATTCACAGTCTTTAGAACCACCTTGTATGTACAGCCATTGGTAGGACTGTGGTGCGTATGCTCAGCGGTAGAGTGTGTGTGAAACATGGCATAGCCTGCGTGCAAGATCTCTAGGGAGCGCCGCCAGAGCGCCCTGAGAGCTTGCTAGCGGGCTAAACACGGCAGAAATCGTTGTGTTTACTGTTCCCTCTGCGTGTTAACACGGGCTGGATAACACAGCACGGTAGAAGCTACAAACAAAGGTTCCCTCTAAGCACTTGATTGCAAAGATGGCAGTTCGAGGGTTAAAGTTTTCGGTATTTTCACACGTCTACACGAGTTTTTCTTTTCTTTTCCGACCTTGTCAACAGCTACGACCCGACAGTGCGACCACAAAATCTTGCTCACTCTGATTCATTTGAAAGGCACACTTGAATTTTTATACTCGAAATTGATATAGAGATGCATCTCATAAGTTTGAATCTGTGTGAGACAGTGTTAATTTAGTGACTTGAACCACCACCTACCCCTTCCCTAAGTCAACATTAACACTTACTTCTCACCTCGGGCAAAATTGTGACTTAGGGGAGGGTCAGGTGGTCGTGAGGCGTAGGATGTTGTTCCAGAAAAAACTAGGAAGTTTTTAGAAATTCCCGCGCTTGCGAAAGATAACAAACGCCAGCAGCATATGAAACTAGCGAAACGATGTGTCGTTCACTTTTTCAACCTGATATAAAAGGATAAATAATAGTTTTGTTTTTCGAAGACAAAACTCGTAAAAAAAATTGTTTCATAGAAAAGGGGATGTCTCTCCTTTAGAATAAACACAGGAAATGTTGATACAGTGGAAGCTCTCGCGAGCGGACACCCTCGGGACGCGAAAAGGTGTCCGTAACTGGACACACAGTATAGGCATGGTTTTATTTACAGACTCTGAACTCAGAACCACCTTTTTTAAGCTCAGTATACAATATCATCAGAAGGTTCTACCAATACTTAATAATTGTTAAAACAATTATTGGACGACAATTATTGGACGAGGTTGAGCAAAATATGGTGATTTGTCAGTTGCGAGCAGATCATAATTGATCTGCGAGAAGACACTGACAAGTCACGATATTTTGCGATAACCGAGTTCAGTAATGAATATCTGCCATTTTGCCATTTTCACGCAAAAGCGATCGCAAGAAGGAGAAACGCGCGGTGCTATTTGCGTATGAGCAGAAGATTATTTGCAGTGAAACACAGTTGGACAACATTGCGCTTGAGCAGACCATTATTTGTAGGCAGGTATTGCAGGTCACGTGGTGGGCTCTCGGGCAATGAAAAACAAGAAGAACTTGCATCGAATGATAATAGCAGTTATTACAAATTTATAGCGTGTCCGATAGGAAGGGTGATAAGTAGGGAAGTAATCTCACTGCATAATCATTGACGTGATTTTTTGAGGCTGGCACAAAGCTTGTTCCTTTTAGCGAATTGTAGCGTGAACTTTTGAACATGCCCTTGACATGTGCAGTTGCAAAGCCTTAGAGGGTAACTCGAGCCAGGTATAACCAGTTATGACGTATAATCATTAACTTTTGCTTTTAGTGTAAGTTGATTGAGATGGTTCTATAAAGAGGTGAGATTTGAAGAACTTAAAATTCAGCCGAGAAGAAGCAGTAAGGCCGTGAGGAGTATTTGATTTTCACTAAGATAGTTGATAAACTAATGGGAGCTGCTCCTTTCTCGCTCGAAAGCGTGTTCGCGTACATCTCGGAGACGTTCGCCGCTGGAGTGATTCAGTCTTACCAAGGACAAGTACTTCTAGAGGACGCTCCATTACTGCAACGCCAAGATCCCTTGGAGGATTTCAAAAAGTTCGATCGAAATGATCAGATTTTTCAAGAGTACGATCCTCCCCCAGGGGAGGACAGCAAAATGGGATGGAAGAGATCTCGCCCGCCAACATGGCGACTGTCGCTTTGGAAGGCCATGAAGCATGCGTTTTGCATTCAAATTCTTGGCGGCGTTGCGTTGGGATCGCTCGCTATTGTAATACTGGTCCTAGATTTCAATACCGTCGTTCTCTGCTATGATATGCAGTCCAAAAACTGGACGGCGATACCTAAAAGAATTGAGGCGGTCATGGTGACAGTTGATACAACCGAAGCCTACTTGGTTCAACTGTGGCCGTTTCTCGTTGTATTGACAATGTTTGGTTGGCGTTTGATAAAGGATCTCAATCTACTGTTTCTCAATCTTCTGGGAGCTTTCCTCGACACTTGTTACAGGCTTTATTTACAAGTTTACGGCATTTACCACAAGCCCTGGAGGTCATTCCCTCTTAACGGCCTGTTTGTTTTCTTGTTGTTGATGAACAGTTTGATCATTGGCAAAGACATAGCTAAGAAAAGCGAAACCGAAAGAAACAAAAGAATCAAGAAAGCGATCAAGGTATCGGCGATGCTGGTAGCTCAGTTTGCTTTTGGACTCCCGATCGCCTATGGTATCGTGTACGTCCTGATACCCCTGTATGGCGAAGTATCTGAAACCTACCGAGCGATTATAGCCGGGGCATTGCCTCTAGTTGCTGCTATACCAAAGGTCATTGTACGCTTGGCGGCGCAAAGAATCGATTTCCTTCATCCAGGAGATTCTCACGTATTGTTAAACGTCCTCCACAGCGCAACTACCATCGTTTTTCGTGTCATGCAAGTGTAACTGACCAGCCTCCGACTTTTCATTCTCCTCAGCTTCGCGCATGGTGCAGTAGACTTGCTGGAAAGGTTGACTATCGTTATTCGCGATTATTTTTGGTACTTTGTTTACAAGAAGCTCAAAAGAGACAGTGGTGAAACCATTTTAAGAGCAAATCAGTTTTGCTCGCCGAGGAGTATGCGCTTTGTGGCCGATATGAGCATTCAGATGATCCTTTTCGAATCAACATCATTGATAGCAGCGGTAGGTTTTATTCAGCTTTACAACTTCATGTACAACCGCAATGAAGCTTCCTCGGCGTCTATCACCCAATTTTTCATTCGCGTCTCCATTGCTATTAGCATCGATTTCGTTTTTAACTCGTTCTCGTTTTGGCTGCAGATGTCCTATTTGAATATCGCAGTGGTGCGCGTCTGGCGCAAGAAATGGCGGAAACATATGCTCGTTGCTTTTATTTTGACTGCAATGACACTGTGTTACTTTACATCTCACTTGTTTGCTGTTGTTAAGGCTAAAAACACTTCAGGGGTAATAATAGCTAATATCAGTTGCGTGGGTCCTTTCTCAGAGTTTTAAAGAGGCCTTGTCACGGTCGTCTAGGTTCTTTTGTTATTGATGCCAGTTACGCCTCATTTGTCGCTATTGAACTTGAGAAATTACCCGTGAATGACAGAATGACAGTTTCGTGTCAAGGAAAATGTCTCCAAAGCTTGACATCAAACGTTACAAACAACAGAATGAACTTTGAAACACGTTTTTATATATTTATTTATTTATTTGATTTTACACACATTACATAAAACATAGAAAAATTTAATTTAATTTATTAATTAATTTTATGTCCTCTTTGGTTACTGCTGTTTGTTTCTTTTGCATTTAAGAATTTTCTAACTTTGAAAACCTGTTTTCAAAAACACCAATTGCAATCCGTTTCCATCTTCTTCGAGTTTGTCCATCCATGCCTCCTTTTTTATTTGCTGTGTTATTTATACCTTCGTGTAATGTTTGAGCGGTTATTTTTATGTTTCACTCATTTTGGTGGGGATTTCCACTGTTTGAATTTTGATAAATTTCGTGAGACAGCTCCTTAAAGTTCAATATTTCCAAGAGATTTTCAAATCAATTTCGTTCGCCAAGAAGCATGCGCTTTGTGGCCGATATGAGCATTCAGATGATCCTTGGCGAATCAACATCATTGATAGCAGCGGTCGGTTTCATTCAGCTTTACAACGTCTTGTACAACTGCAGTGATGATATTTTTTTTTGGACTGCAATGACACTGTGTTAATTTATATGTCACTTGTTTCCTGTTGTTAAGGCCAAAAACACTTCAGGAGTTATAATAGATGATATCAGTTGTGTATCATAAAGAAGAAAGAATAGGTGATATTAGACGCACGGTCATTAAAACTAGGATGTTTTAAGAAATGACAACAACAATAACAGCAGCAATCTTATTTCAGCAATTTAACTTAAGTATTTACCGGCATTGAACAGCAGATAGCAGCTGCTAACCTAGGCGGGACAGACGAACAAGTGAGGGTTAACCGTTAATGAATATTATTACATAAACACAGAGTTAAGGAAACGATGACTTTAGAACTTTGACAGAAAAATCAGTTGAAACTTAAGAGTTACTTAATTATTAAGCTAGTCCAACTTTTTGTATAATGATAGATGTTTCTATTTAGTCATTTTCTTTTACTAAAATATGTAGCAAAAGTCGGCGAATTTCTCTTTTAAATACTTTCGTGGGTAGATTTGTCAAGCTACCCAAGTATCTCATTCCACAGTATTGCGCCAAGTCTGGAAAAAGAACGCTTATGTATCCCTAACCCAAAGCTTTGTACGTAAAATTCCTGGAGGTGGATGATCGCGTGTTGTATGTATGACTACTGGAGTTTTTTAAAAAAGTATTTTCATAATATTTAAAGGAGCGTTAGTGACTGCGAATTATAGTGTAAACACCGGCGTACGTAACTAACAAAATGTTGGCAGGATTTATCGTTCACTTTTTCTGCTTAAATAAAATGGTAAATGACTGTTTCTTCACAAGGGAAAATCGTATGAAAACTACACAGAAAAAATGTCCTGCTTTTAGATTAATCACGTAAAATTTAGGGCGATAGAAATCAAAACATATTATGGGTATGGCCTTAATTTAGAACCACCTTGTATGTACAGCTTTTGGTAGGGCTGTGGTGCGTATGATCAGCGGTATTACGCGCCAAGAGTGTGTGTGAAACATGGCGTAGCCTGCGTGCAAGATCTCCAGGGAACGCCGCCAGAACGTCCTGGAGAGCTTGCTAGCAGGCTAAACGTGGCAGAAATCGTTGTGTTTACTGTTCCCTCTACGTGTTAACACGGGCTGGGTAACACAGCACCATAGAAGCTACAAAAAAAGGTTCCCTCTAAGCACTTGATTGCAATGATGGCAGTTCGAGGGTTAAAGTTTTCGGTATTTTCACACGTCTACAAAATTACATTGCTTCCGAGTTTTTCTTTTCTTTTCCGACCTTGTCAACAGCTACGACCCGACAGTGCGACCAAAAAATCTTGCTTACTCTGATTCATTTGAAAGGCACACTTAGTTTTTTATACTCGAAATTGATATAGAGGTGCATCGCAGAAGGTTGAATCTGTGTGAGAGAGTGTTAAGGTGGCTCGACTGGATTTTTCTGGGGGGATACCTCCCAAGTTTGAGCAATAACCACGCCGCCATGAATAAAGATATGGAAAAAAAGTTACCATAACTGTATTATATAAAGATGAAATTTCTTATGATTTGGGTTCTATTGCAATCGGAGTCGCCATGGCAACGTAACGACCCCATCACATTTTTTATTTATCTTTCTGTTTCTCTGTACCAGGAGTTTTCTTAAGAAATCGCTTAAGGGAGTTTGTACCTGCTATTATTGCCTCAATTATGGCAAAGTTTGAACAAATTGTATGAGAGCGTTTTCGAAATATTTTGAAACGCAGTTTTAAGCATCATATAAACAGTGAAATAGCATGCTACCCACTCAATAAGCTAATTTTTTGAGAAAATGAGAAGCTTTGGAAACGTGGCTTCATATCATAGTGGTCTGAGTCCTTTGAAAACTGCCCACAAAAATCATGGCTAATTGAGTGGATAGAATGCTATTTNGATGGCAGTTCGAGGGTTAAAGTTTTCGGTATTTTCACACGTCTACAAAATTACATTGCTTCCGAGTTTTTCTTTTCTTTTCCGACCTTGTCAACAGCTACGACCCGACAGTGCGACCAAAAAATCTTGCTTACTCTGATTCATTTGAAAGGCACACTTAGTTTTTTATACTCGAAATTGATATAGAGGTGCATCGCAGAAGGTTGAATCTGTGTGAGAGAGTGTTAAGGTGGCTCGACTGGATTTTTCTGGGGGGATACCTCCCAAGTTTGAGCAATAACCACGCCGCCATGAATAAAGATATGGAAAAAAAGTTACCATAACTGTATTATATAAAGATGAAATTTCTTATGATTTGGGTTCTATTGCAATCGGAGTCGCCATGGCAACGTAACGACCCCATCACATTTTTTATTTATCTTTCTGTTTCTCTGTACCAGGAGTTTTCTTAAGAAATCGCTTAAGGGAGTTTGTACCTGCTATTATTGCCTCAATTATGGCAAAGTTTGAACAAATTGTATGAGAGCGTTTTCGAAATATTTTGAAACGCAGTTTTAAGCATCATATAAACAGTGAAATAGCATGCTACCCACTCAATAAGCTAATTTTTTGAGAAAATGAGAAGCTTTGGAAACGTGGCTTCATATCATAGTGGTCTGAGTCCTTTGAAAACTGCCCACAAAAATCATGGCTAATTGAGTGGATAGAATGCTATTTCACTGTTTATATGATGGTTAAAACTGCGTTTCAAAATATTTCGAAAACGCTCTCATAGAATTTGTTCAAACTTTGCCATAATTGAGGCAATTATGGCAGGTACAAACTCCCTTAAGCGATTTCTTAAAAAAACTCCTGGTACAGAGAAACAGAAAGATAAATAAAAAAAGTGATGGGGTCGTTACCTTGCCATGGCGACTCTGATTCGATAAAACCCAAATCATAAGAAATTGTCATCTTTATGTAATAGAGTTGTGGAAACCTTTTTTCCATATCTTTACTCATGGCGACGTAATTAATGCTCAAACTTGGGAGGTATCCCCCCAGAAAAATCCAGTCGAGCCACCTTAATTTAATGACTTAAACCACCACCTACCCCTCCCCTAAGTCAACATTAACACTTACTTCTCACCTCGGGCAAAATTGTGACTTAGGGGAGGGTCAGGTGGTCAGGAGGCGTAGGATGTTGTTCCAGAAAAAACCAGGAAGTTTTCAGAAATTCCCGCGCTTGCGAAAGATACTACATGTGTCGTTTTTTTTTCTACCTGATATAAAAGGATAAATAATAGTTTTGTTTTTCTAAGACAAAACTCGTAAAAAAAAATTGTTTCATAGAAAAGGGGATGACTCTCCTTTAGAGTAAACACAGGAAATGTTGATACAGTGGAAGCGCTCGTGAGCGGGCACCCTCGGGACTCGAAAAGGTGTCCGTAACGGGACACACAGTATAGGCATGGCTTTATTTACAGACTCTGAATTCAGAACCAGCTTTTTAAGCTCAGTATATAATATCATCAGCAGGTTCTACCAATACTTTAATTGTTAAAACAATTATTAGACGACAATTATTGGACGAGGTTGAGCAAAATATGGTGATTTGTCAGTGGCGAGCAGATCATAATTGATCTGCGAGAAGACACTGACAAATCACGATATTTTGCGATAACCGATTTCAATAATGAATGTCTACCATTTTGCCATTTTCACGCAAAAGCGATCGCAAGAGGGAGAAAAGGGCGCTGCTGTTTACGTATGAGCAGAAGATTATTTGCAGCGAAACACAGTTGGAGGACATTGCGCTTGAGCAGACCATTATTTGTAGGCAGGTATTTGCAGGTCACGTGGTGGGTTCTCGGGC